GTCCAAGTATAAAATTCCTTAGAAGTACCCATCAACGACCTCGCATGCGAATGCTTGAACTCTAGATCACTGAACTGTTTAACTTCAACTAATTCATGATGTTGTACAACTCTTTATCGGTTACCTGAAGTGAATATTTGTCTTACTCTCGACACAGAGTGAACACCACTGGTCACAACTTCTAATTAAAACTCCAGGAATTACAACTTGAAGATAGTTACTAGTGAGCATATAATAATTATCAATTTGCGATTGTACAAATTTTTGAAGTTCATTGAAATAATGAACCGATAAATGACAGACCACGATCATGGATGCGCACTTACAAGGAGTTTCATATCAGGACGAGATGACCATCTAGTGCTTCCAGATTCTCAATTGTGATCTAACGTTGATCGATTCATCATTTCAATGAAATGTTAGATTAACTAAAATAATTTCTGTAATAATCATTAATGAATAAATGCAATATGAATAACCAGAAAGCAAAACTTGAGTACGCCCGCAAATGCTCTGGTACGGCAGAGAGTAAGGAAAGTCAACTTTTGCTCTCACATGGCCACGTGCATTCAACCACTTCCAGGGAAGTCCTACTCATTGCCTTCTCGTGGCGGGGGCGTTGCTTATAAAATTGATAGAACGAAAAGCTAATGTCCGGAGATTTAACCAAGTTGGTGGATATGGGGTTCCATCTAGGGGAGTTGAGAAACCCTGATTACAAAAAAAATGATTTACATGGGCTTCAGGATCCTGATAGATCAAATGGCATATGGACCTAATGTTTGTCACCTGTTACCATCGAACTGCATCTCCTTACGATGCTCCACTGCCTTGTGGATTAGAATTTTATGAGAATGCTACCAGTCTTGTATTTTAATTAGGTCGTAGGCAGCTAATTGTGCATAAAAGTGACAATCCTGGTACTCATATAAATTTACTTATTGAAGGAAGAAGTTTGGTTGACCAATTTAAACGCAACAAGCGTCACACAAGTAGTGTGGTGTGTGCTACTGATGTCGACAGATGTTAGTAGTATTTATCATCAATGGAGTGTGAAATGCCTGGAGACAGAAGGTTAAGAAGATCAAAGGAAAGAGAAGGAGAACAAAGAATGATTGGTGTGGAAACGAAAGAAAAGTTTGACTGATATTTGCAAAAGGAACAGTCAAGCTTGGGACAATCGATTGACATTTTGCAAATCAAGTATTTACGGTATGGTTCTGAGATTTTACTGAGATATTGTGTAATTTTGAGTTCAAATACATTGGTCTGTTCTAACTTGTGTTCTCATTCACTACAATATTATATTGACTGACAAACATCGAGAAGCTATCCGGAAACGAAAATCGAATGAGCATATTCTTACCGCCAAACCTGTTAAAAGATCGAGTACTTTAATTCTAAGCGAGACAGGTCAAACGCTCCTGGTTTGACCTCCAAAGAAAACCACCTGTTTCGGTTTGGGCAACCGGGCAGTATCTCAACCCTCACACAAGTTGAATGATCTATGTGACTCATATCTATTTGATGCCTCCTTCTACCAATGTTCATATAGTTAAATCAATTATCAGTACAAATATGATTTGGTAAGTATAACAAATAACAGATTTCAGATAAATAATTCAAAGATTTACTATCCTTTATGAATTAACCTTCTATTGTATACTATAGAGAGCATTGAAATTAAGAGTTTACAGCCTGAAATGTGTATACATCAATATGGTAAATCTAATATTGACATGGTAACATAATTATAGTGGTGTGATTTTCACTCGTTCGTCTTATTTTGTATTATATAATAAACATTTCCATTGACACACATTTATGACGTTAATTTACATTGTATTTCACATCATTGGCGTCATTATATGATTACTCAATTGTGAAACTAATTTTTTACTCTGATCTATTATATAATGTTTATGGCATTATATAGTGTCATTTATAACATGAACGTTAACTATCAAATCAAATAGTTTGTATATTCTTCCTACTGACTTCTGTGTTTTTTCCAAACAGATTTGATTGATTAATGTATGTAGATCTTCTCAATGGTTAAGATCATGAGTCAGTTGAAGCTAGACCACTATGGAAAACCTGGAAGAACTGGACTGCCGTTTCGTCCTATTGTGGGACTCCTCATTAGTGAGCATCCACGACCTCGCCCCCTGCGAGATTCAAACCCAGGACCTACTAGTTACGCGCGCGAGCACTTAACCACTAGACCATTGACTCATTGAAATTACTACAATTTCCACAAAACCCCTTCTGATAATAATCAACATACGCTCCCTAGTGACTGGCCTCAAGAGGTTTATCCTAGAATTCTAGTGAGAAGTAGTGACCAGTGGAGTTCAACCAGGTCTGTTGTGAGATAATGACTCACTGAAGACAATGGTGGATGTGTCGCTCAATATCGTGGATCGGTTGAAGTTAGATATTAACACCGTTGGATGTCGGCCGTCTCAGTGGTTTACTGGTCAAGTTATCGCGCGCGACCAGTAGGCCCTGGATTCGAATCTCGCAGGGGAGAGGTCGTGTGTGCGCACCGCTGAGGAGTCCCACAATAGGACAGAACGGAGTCCAATGCTTCTAAGTTTTCCATGGTGGTCTAGCTTCAACTGACTCATGATCTTAACCTTTGAAATTACTACAATCTCCATGATCGAATATTAGTAACCTACGAATTTCCTCTACTCTATATGGCGACGTCTCATATCCATAAAGTAGGACGGAGGGAACTTCTACATTGTAAACTTGTCTTTTGGTTGAAAGACGGTATGTCACCTACACTACAAGTGACACAAGACAACCAAGCATTCTGAATCCATGCTGAGATTTTATCAAACACCAGATCATCAGGGATGATGAAACTCCCAAGTCAGATGAAGTAATCAATATGTTCATCTACATCACTCCCTATCATTCATTCGTGTATTGACGTTAACCAATCCTGAAGTAACATTTTACATTTGTATGGACGAACTGCATCTCAGAATAATGAATTATACATTTTAAGTTCGTTCAGTGGCATAATACAATTCTACACTAAATTTGAAAGTACTGCATATAGTGAGTGGATTTCTGAAAAAGAAATTTGTTTACAAATAATCATCATGAGAGCTGATTACGCAATCAAATAAGTTTAATACGTCAAAAATCAATAAAGTTGGATAGATTACGCAATCAAGATCAAGATATTTCTGATTGTGAGAACAAAGAAAGGTTAATCACTCAATCTTATTTATATTTATATAGAGATAGGTCAACAAGGTAAAGGGTTCATATGTGAACGACCTTTAGAATATGATTTTTTTTTCAACTTGTCTGTTTTCTCATTGCATATTTACCGACTATTAGATATATAAGAATTGGAATTGTGAACACTGCTTTCTTATAGGTCTACGATTCAACGAATCAACTTGGTGAAATATATCCATGTATGAATATGATCACTTAGTGTAAATTGATTATCAGGATAGGGGTTGTGGGGATTATTAAATTTAGGATTAACTTCACTGGTCACGGCTAATCCGTGTCGGATAGAAACATATATATACCTCAGTATAATGGAAGATGGTCGCGCAATTTTGTGGATTGGTTAAGGTTAGACATTAACACCATCTAATGCTGAAACAGTGATCCAGTAGGTTAAGCGTTCGTGCGCGAGACTGAAGGCCCTGGGTTCGAACCCTGCGAGGCGGCGTAATGGATGTGCACTGTTGAGGAGTCCCAAAATAGGACGAAACGGCCGTCCAGTACTTTCAGGTTTTTAATGGTAGTCTAACAACAATCGGATCATGATCTCAATGTAAACTAATTATCAAAAAAATATACACAACAACTTGTTGTTTACAAAGACACAAAAATAAAGAAGATTGACACACAGTCTGTCTTGAAAACGATATGATAAAAGGGGGGTAGTGAATTAGTCGTTACAGAACACTGCGCTTTACACAATACTACTCATTTTATCTATTTCAGCTCATGTGTTATCGCTAGCATCCACCTTCCTCTCTAACAAACTGTAAATCTCAAAATCACATACTTGATATATAAGCTTAACTATAATAATATAAAGAAAGCATCCAACTGCATCAAGAGGTCAGGAGAGAAGATGTAGATCAAAGTACACAGTTCACCGAGGAATGGAAACAGACATGAGAAGAATGCACAACAATAAGACCACGCTAGAAAGGAAGGCCCAGAATAGAGTGGGTTAGAGAATGCTACCCAATGACCAATGCTTTCTACTGGGAGTAACAGGAGTAAATAAGTTTTAAAAAAGACAATGTCGTTGGTCTTACAGATATCAAACACAACAAGATCCCCATCCAATTGTTTGTTGTAAACGAATAACAACTGTCACTTTCTTCTAAAAAAAATTATATATATATATATATTTATGTATATGAGGTTAATAATTAAATTTTACAAAGAGGATTAAAGGGGACCAAATAGGTTCATCATGTGTGCGTGTGTGTGTGTGTGTGTGTGAGGGGGGTCAGTTTAATTCGAAATAGAAAGAAAACAATAAAAACACAATGTTATCATCTCTCTACCTATCACAAACAAAACAAAACAAAATATGCACGCACACATATACACACACACATATACAAACCACACACAAAAAAAAATACAAAACCAAAACAAAACAAACGATAAAGAAGGCAAACACGTTTTGTTAATAATAATAATAATAATAATCATGGAATTCATTCAATGATATAAATATGAAATGATTAATTGAAGAGTAATTCACAACAATGATTAACTGATTGATTGATTAGATACACATGTTAATGAATAATTTTGAACAATTCGATGAACCGTTACAATTGTTTATAGAATAGAATATCGGTGGGTAAGTGGGTAGGTGGAGAAAGAAAGAAAGAAAGAAAGAAAGAAAATATTACAAATAAGGATAAGAAATTTATTCACACAAATACACATATATATATAGATAGATAGATAGTGATGTTATCTTCATTTATTAATTACATTGAACTTTGAGCAGTCCCCGATGATAATAAAGCATAACGTAGACTTGATGAAACAACACTAGAAGTTGTACAACTATCAGAAGAATTTACATTGGGAATTTGAAAATTTGGTATACAACTACGAGCGACAATAGTTACAATTCTATTAGGAATAGAAAGGAGAAGAGAGATAAATAATAGAAGGAGATATGTTAACGGATAAATTGTTAAGCTGATTAATTCTATGTAAACTGATTAATTAATAGACAGATAGCATTCTCTTTAACGTTATGCTGTTATAATCACAATTTATACATTCATGATATATATCATATAAAAACACATTGTAAATATATATTTATCGGGCAGATAGATGATAGTGAATAAGAGTGTGAAAGGGAACTATGTACATATATACATATTATCAATAAAGTTCAATGTTATGATATAGATTATGAATTGATCAATGTTAGATCATTATCATTGTATTAATTGTTTAATACACAATATCAACCTCTTAAAGTACACCTCTTTATTAGTGGCTCATTGAGTAATAAAAATAAACAATGGTTGTAGCGGTAATGGTGGAGGTAGTGTACGGATCTATAATACAATAAGATTTTTATAGACGAGTCTTCATATATCATGTTATTTTATGATTTCATCTCTCTAACTATGAGAAGACTTTATAATGTCTTATGGTGTAGGAGTAGGTTGGAAGAAAGCTAGGGGGACGGCCAGAACAAAACATAGCACAAATCCATGAAGTCACTGATAAGTGGACTGAGCCATGTTGGTAGGTGTAGACTACCTGATTGGGGTCCGCGAGAGGATAGCAAACGATGGTTAGAGATCTTGAATGACATGGCTCAAAATCGTTTGCAATGGCGCACGTGCATCCACTCTTTGTGTTCTCTCAAACTATAGTCTTCTGAATTCTTCATGTCCTTTATTTTCTTTCCAAATTTATTCCACTGGAGTATACTTCTTAAATAACATCATCAAACCTTAATGTTCCCTATCACTACTTATACTTTCACTACCTTTACCACTATGGGATTTGAATCGATAACTGAATCTCTGTGCTAATGTGGTAGGTATGGCAACTCGAACTGATGTACGTACGTACGTACGTACGTACGAATTTTCATGTTGTTACTGACTGACTGACTAAATGAAAACCTTGTAGGGGATAGACAACTTTTATCTTTATAAAATTAATTAGAAATCCGAGAACAAACTTTATTTATATTTGGATGAGTGTGATTCTGTAATCAACGACGAATCTTCAATAAGAATTCTTGAAAAACTAATATCATCATGTCTGATTACTTCTTCAGTAAAGTATTGTAAATACTTGACAGTTGAAACATGTTTAAGTCCTACAGTTACAACGGATTATAGGACTACTACTATTGTAGCCAGTTCGATGTGTATATGAGGTAGTGAAGGACAAAACATCAACAACAATGAAAATCTACATATTTCCAAGAGATTCAAGTTTTAATTGTCTCATGATCTTATGATACACAAAATGATTCTGCTTAGACAGATACATCATATTATGATTTTGTCATTAAACTTCATTTTGTTATTTCCTTGCGTTTGAATATTTAACTAAATAGGTCGTATCCAATAGTTGGGAGAAATAATGAAATTATTCAAGTTTCATTATAAGGTGTTAGACGTCACATAATAACGTCTAATAACCGTTTCAATATCAACGAATGTTCTATTTGTATGAAATGTTATTGAGAACAATTTACCACACAGGTCATCCTAGGAGTAATGAAATTGAGAAAAATATGATCCATCATTGATTGCCCCAGTTATCTTAAGAAATTTCAACAGAATATCAACTCATCTCTCTCTCATCTCTTTGAATGACTAAAATATCCAATATGACTTTATAGAGCAGTTCTATCCTTTGATTATGCATATTCTCAGCTGTCCTCAAATGCCCTGGTATGGCCGAGAATGGGGTGGACCCGCCCTCCCTCTCGAAATGCTCTCACATGGCCACGCGTATACAACCTCTGCCAAGGAAGTCCTACTCAATGCTTTCTCGTGACACCGGTGTTGTCAACGAAAATCAGAGGACGAAAAGCGAATGTCCAGCGCTTTAACCGGATCCCAAATCAATGGTGCACATGGGCTGGCTCCAGTATTCTGAACAAACAAATGGCGTATGGACCAATCGTTGGTCACCGGTTACCATGGGACTGCATCTCCTTACGATGCTCTACTGCCTTGTGGATCAGACGTTCAGGTCAAAGGCTCGGGGTGTTGCCCTCTAAGAAAACCACCTGCTTCGGTCTGGGAGCCTGTGTAGTATCACAGCCTACACACAAATAAAATGAAGATTTATGTAGTGCATATATATTTGGTGCCCTCTTGTACCAATATTTATGTGTTCAAATTATTTTCTAACAAAACTTTATCTCAAATAGCAAAACATATAGTTTTATTGATGATTTGATGTATACAATAGATGAACTAGATATTTTATTTACCATTGATCGATGCTTTCTACTGAATATTAACAAGAAAAAAAAAACAAACACAGAAAATCGTAGGATTTTCAAAACTTACGCTTCAATTTCTGGATTACATCGAGCAAATTCATGTTCCCAAAATCGATATGCTGGATTACGTAATAATTCTGCACTAGTCATTAATAAACCCCATGGATGTGGACGATTTACAATTAATCTTTCCATAAGAACACGACTAATTTGCTCTTTTACTTGTTCTTTAGATTGTTCAGAGAATAAATATAAAATTGTATAACTAAAATAGTATGTATGCGAATTAGGATAACGTAACTGATTTGCCATACAGTTAAGCAACAGATAACGACCTAAAAATGAAATGAAAAAAAAAGGAAACCAATTCAATGTAATTGTAGGTATCAAACTAACTTATAATAATACAAATTTAATTTTTATTTAGTACTTAAGTAAAACAAATCCGTCTGGAGGCCCTCCAGGGGCTACTGTCGATCCGAAAACTGGATAAATGAGAAGGGTTGGACGACCCCGAACTGTTGAAAACTAACTCGCTAAAAAAACGCTATATCAGTAAGTAAGTAACTTAGGTAAAACAGATTTGGAAGAGAATTTGATTGAGTAGAATAAGCTATGATAGTCAGTCAATCAGTAACAACATAGAACTTCATACGTACGTACATACGTACATCAGTTCGAGTTGCCATACCACATTAGCACAGAGAAACAGTTGTCGATTCAAATCTCATAGTAGTAGAGGTAGTAAGATTATAAGCAGTAATCGGAAACATGTAGTTGAATTCCAAGTCTATCAAGAATTTCTCATAATGAAAGACATACTCTTTCAAGATGAAGAAAATATTTATTTCATATTTTGAACAGTAACAGTGTTTATTTAATCGACTAGATACTGAACACAATCAAATCTTCAAAGAGGTTATATAAACGGACTAATAAAAAAGCTGACTTCTATTTGATAAAGTTGATACTCATTGTCGTGTTTAAAGTAAAAAGCAAAAAAAGAAACAAAAAACAATTTGATAATTAAACCATAAAACTCAGAGAGAAGGACTGGATGGCCGTTTCGTCTTATTGTGGGACTCCTCAGTAGTGCGTATCCATGATACCGACTCGCCAGATTCGAACCAAGGACCTATCAGTATCGTGAGCGTACGCTTAATCTTTAGACCACTGAGCCGGTATCTAATAGTGTTAATGTCTAAGTTCAACTAATCTATGAAATTGAGTGACACATCCACCATTGTCGTCAGTGAGTTACTATCTTACAACAGACTTGATCAAAACTCCACTGGTCACTACTTCTCATTAGAATTCAAAGATATACACCTTGAAGCCAGTCACTAGGGAGCATATGTTGATTATTATATGAAGGGGTTTTGTGGATACTATAGTAATTTCAATGGTTGAGTCAATACGTCAAAACGCAGAAAAATTAGATTTTCTATCCTTTCTCACCATAAATGTCATAGATTTTCTATCCTGACCCTGCACAAACACAAACACACACACACACATGAAAATTTACATACATGTCACTTATGAATCCCCTTGACCGAAATGATATGACATTAATTTATTCAGATCTGTTTTATTTTTCAATTGGTGTTGCATTTAATATCCTTGCATTGTTCCTTTGTACTATTTAAAAATTGAATTCATTTTGAAGCTGTCTTACACTAAATCACAAAACATCGGTATATCTTATATTTCAACTGATGATTCTAATAACTATTAAGAACTTTTTTAAAGAAAACAATATGAAAAAAAAAACAAGTAAGAAGGAACACTAAAACTCAAGGAGTGAATGTATCTCTTACATTTGTGACCAGTTTTAAGCCATATTACGAAATGTTTCTTCAACAACTGATGGTAGTTATCATGCAAACATCTTGATCAGATCATCTACACGTATCAATAGTTATTAACTACACAAATTGATGCTACGTTTTTTTCAACTTATTCTTACTACAGCTGGTAATGCATATCGAGATAAGTGGTAGTTAGGTCTTCTAAACCATTTCAATCAGTAAAGATCCCATTGATATACTTCAAATAACTGAGATATTAAGGTTCTAAAAATTCTTGATGTGTTTCTAACTTAAAACACTGTAATTTTTATGATTACTCACAACTATAACTGACTTTAAAGTCAATTACAATAAAAACAACAGAGATTAATTAATTACAAACCTAAATCCATATAATAACACACATACCTTCATTGTCAAGATTTAAAACTAGACTTTGTATAATATCCATTTGTGGAGTATGAGCAATAGTGCTCATATTCAATGGCATACCTTTCTCACGTAAATTACGAATAGCAGTTATACAAACGTATAATGTTAAATTTGTCATTAATTCAATATTATAATGCATACTATCGGCTAGACCAAATGTAGCTAATTGTTGAGTAGCGCGTACACCCCATAATAAAGCAGCCAATGCAGCACCAGAACCACCACTGACGACAGAGTTGGGTACAGTCAATGTTGTTCGTGAAGTAGTAGTAGTATTACTTGCAGATGATGTCTCGTTGTTACTGTCAGAAACTGCTACCGAGGACGACGATATGATACCACTACTCTCCCAAGATTCTGTTGTTCCAGTTTTCCCAGATGTTTTGTTTACAGCCTGTGTGGAAGTGGAACTAGGTGGAAAATGATCGTCAGTGGGTTTGTCTTCATTCTTTACTGAAGAACCTGGACCAACATCATTAGCAGCTAAAGCAACTGCGTATGCTGCCAGGGCTTGTTGATGTCTAGCCTGTTGTTGAGGATGATAGGCAAACTGAAGTGGTGGTATAGGCGGGATGATATCATCAGCACGTCTTAACATTGTAACTAATTCACTGAGTAGTTTGACAGGTGCTCGAGTGGTTAGATATGCATCGAGCTCACATCTCATCGGCTCTGGGAGTCGTGAACCAGCTTCCATACAATAACCAGTAGGATCTTCAAGAGAGGCTAATTGGTCAACTGGAGGAGCCTATAGAGCAAGAAATAACGAATAGAAAATTACATATGGTATATACATGGAGGTTTGAATTGTCAAAACACTAAAACCAGAAAAAGAATTATACAGGTTCGTATAACTGAATTTTTTCTTACTTGTAATGGGTCCGCCGAAGGTATGCCTCGTTTGGGTAGTGCAGATAGAATTATGTTACGCATTTGAATAGAATTAGATGGGACAACATCACAAAACAATGCATAGTAATCAGAAACAAATTCAGGAAAATCATGAATTAACACCAGCAACAGCCGTAATGTAGCTTTGTATAAACACTGGATTGGTTTTGGCATAAGAGCATTTTGAAGGAAATAGCCTAGAAATTTCAATAGATCTGCCAACAATTGTGCATACATCGCTTGATATGCTGCTCGAAGTTTTGCAGGTCCAGGAGCTGATAGGATACAACCAACAAACCAACGATGGGTTAACATTTCCAGCCAGGAAAATACAAATGCAGTAGCTTTTTCCGGTCTTAAACAATGTAATAGATGACAGAAGATAAGAGGAAGTTGTTGTTGAAAAGTCAGTGGACCCAAAGATTTTATTGACGTGATGGGTATTCGAGGCTCACCACCACCAACACTATCGGCATGTTTACCTGCACAAGCTTTATCCGTGTCAGCATTCTGATGAACATCTGAATTCACATTCTCAACACATCCTTCATCCGTATTGCCATCTGATCTTGGAGATGCACCTACAGTAAACTGTGTTGCTGAAGGTAGTGATAATGAAGACTGCAATTCGACAAATAGGATAACTAGGAGACGTTCAAAAGGCATAGGATGGAATAAATCACGTCGTACTTCATGCTCTTGAAGTAGCGTACCAGCGATAAGTCCGAGGACCTTGTTTAATAATGCAACCTGCACCAACAAAATGGACAAAAACCCTTTAGTGATAAAAATACAGAAAGCTATTAGTTAAGATAGTAATTATAGAAATATTTACGTTTCTGATAGACGGATAGATGAACATTATGGTACTTAATGGGATGGAAAGCCTACCTCTTCTGGACTAGTGATCTTTTTTCTTGCGAGCTAATTCTTTCTTCCTGTAATATATCCTGATACACAATCTTTCATTTATATAGTACTACCATTGAAATAATTACTTCTATGAATTTGGTGTTCATCTTGTTGTGCTAGCTAATGAGGTATGGCAACTTGGACCTATGCATATATGTGCCTGGTTCTACGTTGTAGCTGACTGAGTGATTCTGTCTCTTTTGAACATTCAAAGGCAAAGGTCAATAGATCGATCTTGTGAGCAGGTACGATTATTCAATCATGATTAATATCATTGTATATCGCATCAATCAATATTCTTTCTTTTCGTTTTATCAACCTGAGATTCATTCATCATATCACTAAAATCCTACTTTATAGTAATAAACAATACTATACTTTCTTCGAATGTACAAAGAAGTAGGCAATGCTTCTCTCTCTCTTCATTTGCGTATGTGTTGCGATATAACTAAAAAGTATAATTTGCTGATGATGAAACCGTAATACTACTGACACTACTTTTGAATTAAGTCCAACATCGTCGATAAGTATTACCTCAAACTGACAGACATATTAGCGTTAGATCAACAGGATGGTTTGTTCAATGCAGGAAAACATAATAGGGATGTACGATTGTTGACTTGATTGCGGTTACTACAGATTTAACGTAAATTAACTAGTTTGACAGGAAGAATTACTAGCATAAGATATGGATAACTGAAGTTATAAGACCTTACCTTAGCATTAGGGTATTCACTTTGAGGTGTTTCACCTAATTGATTAATTAATATACTAACTAGACGAGCATAAGCATCTAGTTCAACATAAGCTGCAACACGATTAATCGCCGGATTCGAACTAAAATTTGATCCACCTCCTCCTCCATTAGGAACTTGAGGTTGTTGTTGTTGTTGTTCTTCCAACTTCAATTGTTTCAAAGCTCGTTCAATCACGAAAATTGTGGCTAAGCGTAAGAAACGAGTTGAATTATTAATATTTGGCAAGACACCGATTTGTGTCAGTTGATTAAGAAGTGCATCTATTGTAGCAGGATCACGTTGTTTAGGACTTTGATAGATTTCAACCCAATTACGCATAATCAATTCAACTTTTTCCTGCAAAGGTTATAGAAATAAATAATTTATTCGTTAAAATGACAACAAAGATTAGGCTTGGCGATTTCTCACTTCCAAGATTAGAAGAAGTATACCATAAAGATATAAACAGAACTTATCCTACTTCACATTCATCAAAGGTAAAAATTCACATGGTAAACATGGAACCACAAGTCACATTAGTTTATCATATGAACAAAAAAGAATCTCATTTCTACACAACTGCTCACCTGTAAATTAGGCGGATCATCAAATTCATGAGCTTGACTACATCCAGCATACAATGCTCCAATAGTACAAGATGGATTGTTGAACAATGGGGATTGTTCCATAAGTCCCAAATCTAATAAACCTCGGACACGTGCACAAGCTAAACGTAACCGTAAACCCAATGGATCGGTTAATGATGGTGTTGATAGGTTAGTGTTATTAAGAAACGTTACACGATTTCTTAAAGCTTCTAAAGTAGACCATAAATCATATTCATTCAATACAGTAAATTCGCGTTTTGTTGAAAATGATACTGAAGTAGGACCGCCAACACCAACAGTAACACCACTGACTGGATAGTTTACATTCACTCCAGAAACACTAACATTGGCAGATGCGGAGCCAGAATTAGCACCACTAATACTGGAACCCACGACAGTGCAAGGAATAGTCGATGATGAATTGGCACGAGCATAACTAGCAGCAGCAGCTGCTGCTGCTCCTAATGATGTACCATTAGGACAAGGCAGTACAAAATGATCTAATAAATCAATGACAAAAGTAATTGCGCCTGGATGACCTTTGGCTACTTCTTGAGCTAAATATGAATCAACCTTTCAGAAAAGAAAAAAAAACAAGGAAATGAAAATGACAGAAGGAACTTTTTTTAAAAAAAAAGGAAACAACAGTGATTGCTTTATTAATACAATTAACAAGATCATTGAAAAACCGAAAGCAGTGGGGAGGGGTCATTCCGTCCTAGTATGGGACTCTCAACAATGGAAATTCATGATCTTGAAGGTGAGAGTCGAACTCAAGACATTTAGTCTCACGCGCGAATGTTTAATTTCTAAAACAACGAGCCAACAATATTAATGTCTAATTTCATTTAATCCATGATATTGTGCGACCAACCTTCATACTCGAAACAGATAAGCTCTGTTGGTCAAAGTTTCTCATTAGAACTTCAGAAATCTCTACACGAAACTAGTCATTAGTGATTATATGATAATTGTAAGTATAGGGTTTTCAACAAATAAATAAATCAATCAAAAATTACTTGAGAGAAATAAATAACATGAACTCGTAGAAATTCAGCGAATGCTTCCCAATTCCATTTGACTGAAACAAGACGATTATCATGAGTAGTAGAGATTTGGCTATTATTATTTTCAGTAAACTAGAAAATTAAAAAAAAAGAGAGAGATTATACTAAAAGTAACGACAGTATATAAACTAATATCATGGGATTCTTTTTTTTAGTTTGATAAGAAATCGACTCACATAGTTGAAGTATAGAAAGTTCAAGTCTGTAGGGATGAATAGTGGGTTTGATTACATTTCTATTTCAGTTATTATTGATCGGTTTATAGTTTATGACAAACTGTCGTCAGAATTGTTAACATCAATCAGTAATCGTCGTCAGGGTTCCCTACTATCCCTCTTTTGTTAGTTCCATTATAGATGTCCTCAAAGAAATCTTAACTTCACTTAATTTTTCAGAGGTTGATCTCTTACCGACCAACAATACACAGAAGATATAGTTCTGTTTGGTGTAGTTACTGATATGAAGTCTTTTGATCTAATTGAGTAATAATGCTAAGATATTTGCAATGTATTTCTTTACCTTTAAGTGCGAAATATCTTAGAACTACTGTACGTCAACCTCTAAATAAATGTCAGGTAATGAAGTAGTTGATTGAGTTGATAATTTTTCGTGGAAGTCCCATTAACTCTGAAGGGTCAGTTTACCAAGAAATCTCGTATGACGTTTGTCAATTTGCGTTATCCATAGTGTAGAAGAGATGTCAATCTGTAAATTAAAGGTGTGTACACTGTTATACACCATTTTGGGTGTCTGCGAAACATTGCTGATATTCTGAGAGACGACCGCGTGAAGAATTTTGAAGGGTTAGGCAACGGGTATTAGGTATAGGTGACAAATAGGTTTATAAGGTCGTGAAACTTCACTGGTTGATGTGTTTGGAACGACTGTTACACATACCTAACAACTGCAAACCTTGACAGGCGATGTTAGCTGATATAGGTAAAGTAATAAATGGTCAGTCCATGAAGCTATTGAGTATTGGTGCGAAGTATGTTAGTAGATGAGAACTACCGGAGGCTGAGGTCAGCAGGATAAACGCGACCAGTGGTTGGAGATTTTGGGTGACATGAGTCAGAATCGCTCAAAGCGGTGAGGGTGGATGCATTTCTCATCTCTCTGTAGGTCTTCAATTCCAGCATTCCGTCAAACGTGCCATTCCATTATGTTCAAACCACATTCCCAATGTTTAGTCATATTATTATTATTATTATTGCTACTACATTATTCCGAACTCTTTTTCTATACATATTGTTAATTTCATCTCGTCGAGATAATGCGGTATAAGGACTTGAACTGATGCACATTTTTGTCAAGCCCTCAGTTGATTATGACTGTTCGACTATTTCAATAATGTCTGGAATATTAAAAACATTGTTCTACTATGTTAGTACTCATTAGCTAAGTTTACATATGTACCAGGTTCTACATTGTATTCGGCAGATTGACTGTGAAGAGACAACCTTCATCAAGTTTATGAAAGATCCGATTGTAGGTTGTTCAGAAGTATTCATTGATAAGATTTAACCTGTAAACACGTGTTTGAGAGCTCAGGCATTTCGAAACAATAAATCAATTGACACTTTATCAATTCAAAATATATTTTTTAATAGATTTTTTAAACTGTCAAGGGAATAGAATTATAGATTAGTCTGAGAATAATTTACAACAAGAAGTATTGTGTAAATATGCTTTCGAACTCGAAATTTGAACAAAAAAAAATTTAACATACTTGTTTCCAACTACCTCCTCCCATTGTCCAATTATTAGTGGCAGTGGTGTCGACCATATCATCCAGTGATGATGTCTTATTTTCAGTAGAAGCGATATTCAAGTCTAATTCTTGATTTTGCAAATCATCAGCAGTTTTTCCGTTAGTGTTTGATAATGACGTGACACCTTGGTTGACACCACCAGAACTGGAAAGATTTCCCCCGTCTAAGTGGATCCATGTGTGTGTGACCTGTGAGAGAACCACATAAATAAAAGTGATGATGAAATAAAGATGAAAGTAGAGACTAATATAACATAAAACAATTCGATCACAGAGTAGTTAGTTTGTTGAAGACATACCTGTCGAGTAACCCATGCATATCCAAAAGGAGTTTGTTCTAAAGATAACATATGTCGTAGAGTAAGCATGTGAGCCTCTTTTAAATGTTCCATTGTTTCTAAACCACGTGGTTGATCACGCCAAAAACTAGGTCGATAATGCTCCAAGAAACTTCGTACCATAATTGTGATAATATTGTTAGCAACATTTGTGTCACGACTTGTTTTAGCTAGGTGAACAGCATCAATTAAACAACGTAGAGATTGACACATTGGATCATTGGCAGGACGTAATCGACCAGAAATAGCTATTAAATGACGTTCAATCTGTCCACTTATCTTGTCAAACAAACCAGATAGTGGAGCCTTTATAAAATGAAATGAAAAAATAGCGGAAAATAAATATAGATAGTAGCAGGATGTACTTTTAAGCATTACAAACATAAAAAGAGAAAAATCAATCCTACGATAACTATTGAGATAGATGAGTTATTAAGTGTCTGGAAGCAACACTTATTTATTTTCATCATATAACAAAGATGTAGACGGATATAAATAGGTTCCTCAGAGTTGAGTGGATACACAGTGGTGGAGTCGAAAACTCATTCCTTATTTACTTAATATAGAGCAGTACATTACGTCGTCTTCGTACATTTCAGTCACGATGTATTGAAGTGTAACAATAATCTATACCGAGTTACTGACTGACTAAAATTCAGCAATCATAGTAGATACTAGTAGAGTGACGAAACCCAGAGATGGAAAACATCACATCAGACTATTACGTATTGGTAAAGATATGCGGTTGGTGAAACTGTTGTGGCTTCTGAACATGATCTATTATATTATTATTATTATTATTATTATTATTATTATTATTATTATTATTATTAGTAGTAGTAGTAGTAGTAGTAGTAGTAGTAGTAGTAGTAGTGGCTTTATTCAATATTATATTTTTGGTACAATATAGAATTCTCAGCACAAAGTATTTCAACAAGTTTTCCTTTCTTATTTCTTGATCAGTTCCTTGCGATAAATATTGAGTGGTCACCAGTTAGATGTTAGCGGTTCAGGAATCGACATCTGATAAATGTATATTGCCAGTAACCATGATGTCTCTGATTGAGCTCTTTTATAACTTGTGCAGCGAAATGTCGTAAACTTTTTACAAACGCACCTGAATAGGTTATGAGACTAATAGACATAATGATGTGTTAAAAGAAACAAGAAAACAGATAACTTGTTGAAATATCCAGATTGCAGGAACAGGTAGCCCAGATATTCAAGCAGGCCGCCTATATATGGAGACAATGTGAAGGGATAATGATGAATACTTTCACCAACTTACAAACGATTTTTATCTCCTTATGAAATAATAGCAACTTTAATAGGAACTAACAAATAATCTTCACTCTCAAAGAAGCTCAGTTGTAGTAATTTACTTTGTACTGACTTATGGATGTATAACAGGCTGGTGAAGATAAACTACAGGTACACATACGCTGCTATTATCATTATATTGATCAGGTATAATGAAACCATTGATTGAAGTGGTTCCTAAAGGCCGAATACGTATAGAAAATAAGAATCAGGTAGATTTATGCCACATTCTACGTTGTTCGAGAACGCTTGAATGATTTCTTATCTTCCCCACATAATACAAAGAACAAATGATCTCATATTACTCAGATGCGATGAGAAATACATGACATTTCAAACTCACCTGAAAGTTAGCTGATGGTTGACTAGCTGCAGTTGGATAGCCTTGTGGTTTTATAAATGACCCGCTAGCAGTGCATATTGCAGGAGTAGTCTGTCGTTGAATTATACCAGTAGAAGAAAGTTGTTGTTTCTGTGATGCAGATAGTTGAAGATATGCAGCCATTGATGCTGCGGAATTTACAGTAGATGAAGAAATGTTTTGAACTGCAGTTAATGGGTTCAAAGACACAGGAAGTAAAATGGATGATGAAGGCGTATTCATCATGGCTCCAGATGAGCTCGGAGCAAAGCCAGGAATAACACGACCGAATTCTTCATAGACTGACATTTCTGTGGCAGTAGGACCACCAGCCTAGAGAATAAATGATTCCAATTTTGTATAATTAGGTTATTGAAAATTTGAAAATATATCGATTAAATTAGTTTGATTACAAAGGAAATATAATTAGTAAAACTTATGTAATACAAAAGCAGTGATATAATCAACAACAACAACGTACTGTAAGGCGTAACGATTCAGGAATATTAGATTGCTGAGATGCTAATTGGTTTACAGCCTGTTCCATGAAACGTATAGGACCAAGTTCAGTACGAAGTTTTATATCCGCTTCTAATTTTTTCTCGACATCTTTCACAGCTTTTTCAGCTACTGACTTTTGCATATACGCTAAACAAACATGCATACTTTTGCCAACAACTAAATAAGCCAATTGTTGTACAGCTTCCTTTTCTTGCGCGGTAGCAGATTGAACTTCAGTAAGAATGATATTTTTTAAACTTGTCACAAGTGACATGCCTAAAGCTTCTCTGGCAGTAATTAATGACATTCCAGCGGCAAGATGTCGAATCATTTGACAAGCTGCATACAACATACGTGAAGGATCTGGATCTAATGCAAAATCTTTGCGAACAATAGCGACAACAGTTGTAACTGTGATACGTGCACAACGTTCGAATACTGGAGTAGTCAATTCATTGATAGCGCGTAGAACGGCAGGTTCAATTAATCCGCGTAGTCGAGGATTAGCTTGAAGTAAAGCAAATGCAGCAGTAATTCCATTTGAATTAGTACCACCATTTCGACTATTGATTGCGGCATTTGTTAATAATTCATCAAGATTTAAACAAGCACGAATACTTCGAATGTTCACATCTTCGTAGCGTAGTAAATGTCCAGTGAATAACGTACTACCACCACCAGTTAAATCTCCATCTACATTCCATGGAATAAAAAATAACCAAACAATTCAACATCTTCAAAATGATGATAAACATGAGGATAACAATCTTGGTTACAATTTAACTGATTTGAACAACAACCTAGGCGTGAAGGACTGGTGATACTATCCAGCTGGTTAAACTGAAGTAAATGAGGCTGGATTCAAACATGTGATTTAATGACTGAACGTTGAATGCCTTAACCTTTCAGCCATTACTTCCATATAACGCAAAGAAACGTAGAAGTGTTTCAGTTTTCTGATAATGGTCAATGAATGGAAATGAAGATGGTAGACGGAAGTTTAATCAAGAAACTATCTGATATAGATGAAATTTTTCTAAATTTAAGCAACAACATCATAGAAGGAAAGTCAATGTACACTAATACACTATTAATTCAATTATCATAATTCATAAATGAATTATAAGTGAATATGTTTGAGTAAAACACTTGTTGACGATGTATACTAGTAGGAGTTTGTTAAGGATGTGCACTCATACCAATGGAGAATGATCCACTGATACAGTACATATTAATAAAAATAGTAAAACAAAACCTCCCTAAGTTTCAGTCAGTCAGTTTATTTATTAACACATAGGTATTGGTACAAGGATGCACCAAATACATATGCGCCACACGAATCTCAATTGATTTGTGAGTGCTGTGATACTGCCCGAGTGTCGAAACCAAAGCAGATGGTTTTTTTAGGGAGTCACCCTGAGCCTTCGAAATAAAGGTCTGATCCAAAAGGCAATGGAGCAACGTAAGGAGATGCAGTTTCATGGTAGCCGGTGACCAACGATTGGTTCATACGTCATTTGTTCCCTCAGGATACTGGAGCCAGCCCATGTGCACCATTGGTTTGGGATCCGGTTAAAGCGCTGGACATTCGCTTTTTGTCCTCTCATTTTCATAGAAAACACCCGTGTCACGAGAACGCAGTGAGTTGGACTTCCCTGGCAGAGGCTATATACGCGTGGCCATGTGAGAGCATTTCGAGAGGAAGAGCGGACTCTCCCCACTCTCGGCCGTACCAGGGCATCTGAGGGCTCAGTCAGTCAGTGACAACGTAGAACATCGTTCAAACGTACATCAGTTCGAGTTACCATACCACACTAGTACACAGACACAATTGTCAATTCAAATTCCATAGTGGCAGAGATAGTAAGAGTATAAACAGTAATCAGAAAGATTAGGGTTTGGAGATATTATTCAAGGAGTATAATCCAGTGAAATAAATGTGGAAAGAGAAAAAAAAGAAAAGGACATAAAGAATTCACGAGATTAGAATTTGGGAGAACACAAACAGTGGATGCACCTGCACTATTGTAAACGATTTTCAGCCATGTCATTCAAAGTCTCTAACCATCGGTTGCTATTGTCACGCGCATCCCAAGCACATAGTCTACACCCACCAACATGACTCAGTCCACTTGTCAGTTTATATACTTTCTTTCTTTTTCTTGCTTATTTCTAACAATGAAATAGTTATTCTATTATAAAAACTTACTTAATCCACCACTGGTAATATTAGTCGATTGTGTAGCATTAGGTTGATTATGAATAGGTAAAATATTTTGAAGGGTCTGTGGTTGATGTGACTGTTGTTGATGAGATTGTGGTGGTGGTTGAAAAGCTGCCATTGCAGTATTCAATTGTTGTTGATGTTGTTGTAATGCTAATGCAGAAGAAGTAGAAGATGGAGAAGAAGAAGATGGACCAGTTCCAGAAAGAGTAGGACCAAATTGTTGTTGTTTTTTAATAGCAGCTACAGCAGCAGCAATTGCAGCGGCTGATGGACGAGTTTGATTAGAACTATTAGAAGAGTTTTGAATTAAATTAGTTATATCTAAACCAGGGGTCTGTAACAATAGAAGAAAAAAAGACAAGTTGGTACTAGTTTATCGAAAGAATATATAAATCACATCTTATTATTAGAAAAAAAAGAAACACAGTCGATGATATAACTTGCTAAAGTTTTCAAAAAAAACACCATAATTTCAATTTATCCGCTGCTATTTCTTCTTATTACAAGAAACCATCACTTATTTTAGTCTTAAAATAACGATACTTTAACTAATAATACTAATCGATGGTAAGTATGCAAGAAAATTACTCTCTACAAGCCTACCCAGTAAACATTGAAAATTTTTAAAGCAAAAAATAGTAAAAAGTAACAAATATGCAGTAAAATCCGACTCCACGTGCGGTTGCCGGATAGTGACAGTAACATTGCTAGCTAATTTTGGCGATCTGTGGAGCATGTACTAGTTTCATCACTTTTCTCCTGTACTTGAATTTTTCGGAGTTTATTCTTCGAAACCATGTAAACCGTGGCAGACTGCCCGATGTGTGTGCTTATGTAAATTAATTGCATAAATCTCATTGTGTGTACTTTATGAATGTAGGTATTTGCAAAGGTTATGCATAAGAAACGTAAGATGAAAAAAATGTCTATCCCATGTCTAATAAAACTAGCGATCTAATCTTTGAAGTCGAAGATATACTAAAATATATGGTAGCGAATATTAGGGAAGGGTGACCATCAACCCACCCTGAGTGCTTATGCCCATGTATATCTCATGAGGAACATGTGTACTAGTGGCACACATGTAATGTGTAGGAGACAGAAAGTTGTGGTAAATACGTACGAAGGGAGTAATAATCAATGGAATGGACGAGTGAAAACTTTTTTATCAGTGTACATGTAGACCATACTTGCACCTGGTATGGCACCGCGTGCCACGACGAGGTGTTTTCAGCTATTTCCTTACAAAATCACACCCACGTGTTGGGTTCGTGAGCTTCAAAAAGCGAACTTCTAATCAAGATATGCCTATGGGCTTTATCAGGTGTGCTTTCACTAAACTCAAAAAGCTGGAACACCGAACTACTGTCACATATACACATAACAATCAGACGAAAATAACTAAATCACATATGAATTACGATCAACGTCGATCACACACACAGATACATTCAAGTAAATAAAAGTAAGAATAAACAATTGAGTTGAGAATTAATGTCAAGCTATAAAATGTAAAGTTATCAACATACTGAATATACTGATTGTTGTGTTGATATGGAATCCGTAGGAGAAATATGTTGTTGGTGTTTGTGGAACAAAGCAAGCATGTTGGACAGTTGTTTCTGTTGTTCAGATGACGTTAAATTCGAGCCGGTGGTAGTAGCTCCAACAGAAAACGTAGTCACTGTTGTTGTTGCCACCATTGCCACTGTTGTTGTAACTGAGAAATCAGGAGTAGTAAACGAAGAACCGGGATAAAATGATGAATCTATACTAGTTATTGTAGGTGTACTAGTAATATTTGATACTATCATTTGACCAGGTGTATTCATAGATCCAATGGTAGTAGTGGTAGTAGTAGTTGTAGTAGCAGTAGTGATAGTACTTGTAGTAGTTGCAATGAAACACAGTTCAATATCTAAATTAGATGAGTGGGTTAGGTCACGAAGAAAATTTGCAGATGGTATATCGTTCAGATTTAGGTCAAATGCACGATAAAGGATTTCAATCTAGAAAAAAAAACACAAATAGAAAATAATAACATTCTGATATCATAATGGCTTATGAAGATGTTAGTTAACATCATGAAATGATCTTTGTGAAACAGATAAATTCTTGGAAATATACATTAATAGTAAAGTGACTGCTACTCATATTTGCAGATATAAGTAGTATATAAAACTAGTCGGAAGTGAAATGTCTATGAGCAGGTTTAGATGATTAAAATGAATAAAAAACAGAGACCAAAACTAAAAGCAATCAACATAACGACAGAAATAAAGGAACAATAAATCTTGTAACAGACAGATGCATTTGATGTATGATTTTCATATTTTACTAAACAATTGTACCTCTATCACTAGGGGATTTGAATCGATAACTGAATCTCTGTGCTAATGTGGTATGGCAACTTTAACTGATGTACGTACGTACGAAGTTCCATGTTGTTACTGACTAACTGACTGACTGTATGAATATGCATTAAACAATAAATTGAACTTTCCCACAAATTAGTTTATTGAGGAGTTTGTTTTACATTATATTAAAAGCTTATAATGTAAGACAAGTCAAAGTGAATAGCTTTCTATAAGCGTTTAATAGAACTATGGGGAAAACAAAAAGATCATTAAGATCATAGACTTCTTATCTGAAATTAAATAATAAGACGTAATTATAATACTATTTCTTCTTACTTCAAAACGTAACCAATCTTTTACATTGTCCATATCATACAATTCACGTAAAACTTTTAATATTGCCATTGTCCATGGATTAGGTGGACGAAATACCAAACTTTCAGTTGCACCTCGAACAACTCGAGCAACAAATGGAACTACATATTGAGTAGGAATAGGTCCTTTGTAATAAGCTTCATATATAAGATCTTTAATATTTAAATCATCGTGTAGAACTGGTTTATTACGTGCCAATGTGATTAGACCAAGAAAACTGCCAAAATTCTTCAAAGTACTACGTGCTTGCATATCATCTTTGTCTAAACGCATATTACGCAGAATAAACTAATTGGAACAAAGATAAAAGAATTTGAAAAAAAAAAGATATTACTGATTAAGAAAAACCTAACTAAGCTTAGGTGTATCAAGTATGCAGACAGACGGTCTTAATTTGAGAACTAAATATTGTAATCAACATTATGTTCAGTAACCTGTATTCACATATATTAGAATCGGTCACGTATTTGATTTATATTCACCTTTGCTAACCCTAACCAACACTACTAAATAAGCCTTGAAAGATAAAAATTTAACGCAGTAATTCTGTGTCTAAACTACTATAGTCGCCCTCCTATGTGAAAGATAACTTTCCAAGACTGATCAACTAAATATGGATACATCAATTTACCAGCCCTTGTAAAGTTAGATATGTAGATCGCTCATCGAGTCTACTACTTCTTCGTTGAAATCAATAGTATCAACTAGAGTGATTCCGTAAAGGTGAACATAAGTTAATTATGTCATTGACTCAATAATATTAGGTTCATTGATTACCAAGTGTGTAACGAGTTATATTGAACTATCGTATAACATTTTGACTACGAAAGATCATTGTCTGACAAAACACTAAAAACCATTATGAATTAACTAATTAATCGTATGCACAGATTTGTGCAATAAGAATAATTAATATGCACAATATTAGTTATATAGACACATTAGAACAAATTAAGAATTCATATTTGAATTAAGTATGACCAACCATGATCAAACACGGATACTCACCTTGATATGTCTTATAAGTTCGTACATAACTTTAGGTCTAACATTTGGCACTCTTTCTTGAATATGATCAAGTACCAAAGCGAATAAATCATGAAATGTTTGTTCAACTGGTATTCGTTTACTGACAAGATAAAAAGCAAACCATGGTATAAGTCGATCTTCTGACAATAATGTGGCTAATTCATTTGACTTTTCTTTAGCATTCACCTTGGATACATTATTAAATAGAAAGTAGACACGATCGGAAATACTTTCCTCTGGTGCATCAGGTGCTTTGATGCATGACGACGTATCAACAGGAACACCAGTGCTTCCAACAGTGTTGGAAGTAGGCATCGTCAGATTTAAGCTCGTCGATGGTGTTAATGAATCAGTAAGCTGATAATGTGAAGCGATTAATTGGTTTGAAGAACCACTGCCACTACTTCCAGTAGTTGTCAAATTCTGTATATTCATTGTGAATCATAAAAGAAAGAAAAACAGATAGTAAGTGGGATTATGAGGATACATGGTATTCTGTTACAAAACTAATAAAAAAAAACAGTTTGAAACGAATCTTCATTCAAATCATAATCATTTAAATTGATAATCATGATAGGAAAAAATTACCTTGGACAAAGATGAGGTAGTTTGTTGTGATATTGCGTAATTCTTGATGGCCAATTCAGAGTTTAAAATATACTATATGAAAAACATAAAACAAACAGATAAAATATGCAATCAGATAATAGCATTTGTTGAATATAATAAGACCCCAAATGCCCTGGTATGGCCGAGAGTGGGGAGAGTCCGCTCTCACTCTCCAAATGCTCTCACATAGCCACGCGCTTACAGCCTCTGTCAGGGAAGTCCTACTCAGTGCCATCTCGTAACACCAGTGTTGTTTACGAAAATGAGAGGATGAAAAGCGAACGTCCGGCGCTATAACCGGATCTCAAATCAATGGTGCACATGGGCTGGCTCCAGTATCCTGAAGGAACAAATGGCGTATGAACCAATCGTTGGTCACCGGCTACCATGCGACTGCATCTACTTATGATGCTCCACTGCATTGTGGGTTAGACCTTTAGGTCAAAGGCTCGGGGTGTTGCCCCCTACGAAAACCACCTGTTTCGGTTTGGGCACCTGAACAGTATCACACCCCTCACATATATCAAATGAGATTTGTGTGGCGCATATACATTTGGTGCCCTCTTGTACTAATATTTATGTGTTCAAATAAAATAAAAATAAACGAATATAATAAAGGATTATTTACAATACATAGATAATGATTTGTGTAGTGAACAAGAACACAAGTGGGCGACAATCAAATGTATTTGAACATGAAATTATAGAGCATCTCACTAAAATCTGAGAACCATATAGTAAATCGTTAATTTGCATAATATCAATCCATCATCTCAAACTTGACTGTTCCTGTTGCAAACATCAATCTATTGGTCTTAGATTTTATTGTTCATGCATTTTCATACCAACTGCGTTCTGTTCCCATACTTTCCTTATGGATCTTCTACTGAAATACATTCTATGCCTGACCACCACCACCATTATATACTGCTCATGTGGATATAAGTAATCCACATCACAATTGTAGTGAATTTCACAGTGTACATATTGTCTTATTCTCAGAATCATTAATTAAACGTAATTATACAATTCAATGTTTGATGTTCACTCAATAACTTTTGTATTAAACACTTAACATATTATTCCCTATATGCCTAGAACATCATGATGACTAACATGATAAATATGATCGAGCAAAAATTGATCGTCACATTCAATCCTTAATATATTAACATGACAATCCAAATATTCAGTACGAATGATTGAAAAATATTTACTTCTTTTGAATATCTACTTATGATGAAAATTCCATAGATTTCACATTTGATGATAAAAAGTTACACCATATTTCTTTTGGTTTGTATTCATATTGACAGAAGGATATTTACAATGTCTAATAGAATAAAGGATGGATGCTAATCACCAATGATTTTGATATAGGTTTACAATGTTTACAAAGCATAGAACTGAAGTTATCAACTTAGTTAAATCTAGTTTAATTCTTCTTATTCATATATGTTAATGAAGTATGGCAACTTGGACCAATCCATATGTGTGCCTGGTCCTACGTTGTAGCTGACTGACTGACTGACTAACTATTTATATATGATATTCAAAGAAAAACAGTGTTTCATATGCAAATAAGATAAACATTTCATGAGAAAAGAATAAATATCAGGTACATAATTCTTACTCCTTGAAGATCATGCGGAAACGCTTTGAACACTGGACAACTGGCTAAACAATTTGGAAGATTAGAAAAGTGTACAAACCTGAAAGATGAAGCAAACAGAGAAAAGTTCAAGTGTAGGATTATATATATATATATGTATATAGTTAGTAAATATTGAAGGCTTAAGATCAATAAAACAATACTTACGTGTTTTTAGCCTTCATTAAAATATGAATCATAGCACGAAATAATGTTGAATCCATGTGTGTCTCTGGTGGTAGAGTAAACAATCGAGCTAATACAGAACGCCATAGCATTGAAAGAGCTCTCATAGAAAAGCTGTAAACAAACAGAATTAAGTTATTACTAAGACTCCATTGTACAATTAAGATGCTATTTTCTCTTACAATTAATAATAATAATAATAATAATTTGACAATCAAACTTACAGATGTGTACTAGCTGCAAGAACACTACCATATAAATCAGCAAATAAAGGTAGCATAGTTTCAGGATAATCTTGTAAATGACGTGAAACTTCATCCGCTAACATACGTAAAATTCCATCTAATAATTTACGTTGAGAAGGTGTACCTTGAGTTGCAAAATCGTATAAAGTTTTAAACATTTCATCAGGTGGATTAATACCTTCCAATAGTTTTTGAAAGAATGTATTAGCCTGAACAATAACAACAATAAAAAAATAGATACGTATATATATATATATATATATATATATATATATATATATATATATATATATATATATATATATATATATATATATATATATATATATATATATGGGAATGACATTAGATAAATCAAAGAAAATAGGAGAGAAAGAGAAAGAGAGAGAGGAAGAGAAAAAACAAACAGTATATCCTCTGTCATATTATTTCTTTAGTGAAGTTATAGATATTTAAAACTCTTCTCAAAGAATGTTAATCTTCCTTCATATATAAATGTGTATGTACTTTAATTTAGACGACCCTTTAAATAAATTTGTTCTTCTTCTTCTTCTTCTTCTTCTTCTTATTATTATTATTATTATTATTATTATTATTATTTAGATGTATCATAAGGAAATACAACTATAATGACGATAACAACAACAACAACAACAACAACAACAGATGGTCTAATCTTAAAAATGTATTGGGGATTTATATAATGAAGTGAAAGATATACGTGCATATTGGTATACAAAATGAACTGGTATTAAATTAAGCGCTAACCATGGTAAATCAGTTGACTTCGGTTGCATACGAAAGTGATCAGTTGGACAGCAACAAAAAGTCTAAGGCTTAAGGTTGAATTCATACTGTTTATGTATTTATTTAAACACATAAACTTAAGTATAAGAAAGCATCAAAAATATATGCCGCACACAACTCATTCCATTTGCGTGAGGGTTGAAATACTGCCCAGACATCGAAACCGAAGCAGGATTTACATTGTCAACGGTCTGGAATGGGATAACAATAGGATGTTTTACTTGCGATCAGTATTTCCAGCAATACTATCTCCTCACAATGCAAGGAAGAGGTTGGAAAATATTGGTCTTCATCTCACCTTACCCCAAGGATTTCTGGTATTGAAGGTAAGGCCTGAAACATAAAACTATTCGCAGGTCGTATGTCATCGGGCCTTAGGAGCTATCCTTTAAGTTGTGTAGTCACACCCACATCAAGTGCTTTTCAACTAACTCAAAAAAAAGTATCTTTACACAATATGGGTAAACGTAAAGTGTCAATTGACATGTGAATTGTTCATTTATTTGAACACATAAATATTGATACAGAGGGGCACTGAATACAAATTCGCCACACAGGTCACTTTGTGTGGGGGGGTTGTCATACACCCCGGGTTCCCACACATCGAAGGTCCATGATTTCCTGTTGGCGACCTCCAACCACCACCTGACAGCACAATATAATGCATGCTGTATCAAGTTACTTATACTAGTGACTACATTACATATTGGTCGATAAAATTCAATCAGCACTAAGGAATTGACATATATGGCACTGATTAGTGATCGATTAATTATGAAGTAACCAATGTTAGGGAAATATTCAAAATGTATATATATACACACGATGAGACATCTCCAGAGTCATTTGATCGATCATATATTTATTTACAATTAAAGATGATTACAAGTGTATCAGAATAATGATATTCATAGACGGAGAGTGTGTGTATGTGTGTATTACATATCTAAGTACATTCATAATTTTATTGTAATCTTGTTTGATCATGGAAGACTGAGGATGTAAAATCATTGAAATTAGTATAAATCTAGTGATTAATTTGCGAGAAAAAGAAAAGAAACATACACATACACACAAGTAAATAGAAAACACTAAGCCTATTAATGCCTTAACAACAACAAGTTTATTGGAACCAAATTAGTTGGATATTACAACATATCATAAAATTTGATTGAAATAAAGATAGGAAAAACAAAATGTACGAGGTTAACAAACTGAGTTATTTGAAAATACTTTACAAACACAGAGCTTTTTATCTGGCTTAATAATTATTTCAACATCAACAACAACAAAATGAGAACGAATTGCATAGTTGTTTCCCCTACTTAAAAACAGCATATTTAACCATTCATTTAAGACATTTATTCCTCTAAATAAATTTAGTTAGTCAAATGAGAAGACAAAGTTCATCAGAACTATTTGACTCCCAAATGCCCTGGTACAACCGAGACTGAGGAAAATTCGCTCTCCCTCACCACATACTCTCACATGGCCACGCGTATATAGCTTCTGCCAGGGAACTCGTACTCACTGCCTTCTCGCAGTATCACTGTTGTTTACGGAATTGAGAGGACGAAAAGAGAATGTCCAGAGCTTTAACTGGGTTGGTGGACGCGGAGAGAGTCCATCTAGGTGAGTTGGAAAACTCTGATGATAAACTAGCTGTGCATATGGGCTCCAGCATCCTGAGGGAACAAATGACGTATGAACCAATTGTTGGTCATCGGCTATCGTGGGACTGCATCTCCTTACGTTGCTCCATTGCCTTTTGGATTAGACCTTTACTTCGAAGGCTCAGGGTGTGACTCCCTAAGAAAACCATCTGCTTTGGTTTCGACACTGGGGCAGTATGACAGCCCTCACACATATCAAGTGAGATTTGTGTGGCGGATATATATCTGGTGCCCTCTTGTACCAGTATTTATGTGTTCAAATAAATAAATAAATAAGAACTATGTGATATATTTGAGCAGTACATTTCAAACTGTCTGATCACCATTAGTTTGCACAATCGTATAATATCATCTAATCCCATTTAGGCAACTAGGGGAATAGTATCATCAGTTTTACAAAACAGAAATGTGACATTTAAAGAAGATTACAGAAATTGGTATTTTAAAAAAATTATTGAATAACTCACCTCGGCTTCAGCTTCTTTGCTTAATTGAATTTTTATAGGTTCATTGACAAATGACAATTCCATAGGTGGATGTTCCATTGGAATAGAAATATTGAAATTATTATTTAATGCTTGTTGCATATGAGTATCTACTGTCATAGATGGACCGACTATACCAGAAGCTTGTGCTTTACGTCGTGCTGCAAGCTATAACATAAAATCAAATGGATAGAATGAATATTGTTTTTTTTTTGAAGGGATTCGGATCAGTTTGCTAAGTTCAAATAAGTGGTATATTATGATAAATGGATATTAGATTCAGATATATACAATAAGTGAACATAATATAAAGATTAAAATATATTCGTATTAATGGAAGTAAAGGAATAGGAAAAATGAGTCAATAGTAGTGGTACACAATCGCAATCAATTTACAGATGAAAGGCAAAAGCAGGAATTATGCTTGACAAAAAAAGATAAAAGCGCAGCAGTGAAGGAAAATATCTCACCAAATAACAATTACAACAATATATTCATATAAGAAATAGGATAACATTAGATATGTATACGTATATGTGTATGTGTACATACATATTTGAATGAAATGAACTAACCTGTAAAGTTAAGGGATTTGTAACATGTTGCATGACTCCGGGATTAAGTTTGGTGTTATTCAATGTAGTCACTAAAAATGGAAATAATAATAATAATAATAATAATAATAATAATAATAATAATAATAATAAAGAACTGATAACTCAGGAAGTGATGGTAAACTTAAATTGTAGCATCTGAACTACACATGTTATAGTTACATAATATACCCTTGTGGGTCAGGGTAATTTTACATTGGTTTTCAGGAGAACCAGACACCATCCAAACTTTCACATGACAACCCAAATAGTACAGTTCAATCCTGTTTAACAGGAGAGGCAGACACTGTATAAGTCTTAACGCTACAATCTGAATAGTACAGCTCAATCCTGTGGCGCAATCACACAGGTACCGTGAACCCTGGTGGACCATTCGCACCATTCATATACAACACATTCACGCCGTATGTATAGTTATTCCGATCAATGATTGAGTGAATCAATTATGCACAACATGAACTGGCCAAAGTTGACCTATTCCGCTTACACGACAGTCAAACTCATTAATGTTAGCAATGGCGACATGCCTTACAATGTCCCAATGACAATGGCCGTTGAGAACACGGAAAATCAACCACCAGTATGAATAAAATCGGTTAACCAGCAAACCAATTTTGTGCATCAACAGTCAGCGAAACTTGTCAAAGCATTGCTGAACCACCTACAATACCAATGGCGAACCTTCAGTCTCATATGAGACCTTCAGCTCTACATAGCCATACAGCTACTGCACATGTATTCCGATATATTTAAATAGAAATAACCGAATAGTAGCTAGACATTAAGAGTAAATTTATAAAATATTTTCCTCATCTCTTCTTAAAATTTACTGATTATAGTCAAAAACAGAAATACTGGTCGATAGGCTCAGGTTAAACCGAAGTGTTTAGAAAACACTTGCAGTAATAAGTTTCCATCCTAAATACCATGTTAATATTTAAATATAATTAATTAGCTACGATATTCAATTCAGCGTTCTGTACAACGAAAAAAAACCGATATAGCACGTCAGCATAAGTCAACACAGTCCCTATATTACTGAAGAAAAATCGATTACTATAGTAGTGAGAGGGACCAAACCAATATGTGATGACACATGTTGGAACATGAAATTATTGGTTCTAAGTCTGCGCTAGGCTGTTACATATATATTGTTTGGATAAATTGTTCACGACAACTACGACTAGTAATTAGAAAAGTTAATTAACATGGCATAGAATAAGCCATAGTGGCACAGATGCATTCCATCTTTATCTTCTTTCTAGATCTAAGGTTTCAGTATTCATTCAAATATACTATTTTTATTCCATCTTGTCGAACCACACTAACAATGCTTACATTGATAAACTGATAATAGTGATAGATTCTGTTTTTAACTCTAACACATCGCGAAAACACATTTCTCAACAGTTGTCATCTTTTGTCTCTCTCTCTTTCTCTCCCTCTCTCTTTATGTACCTTTTCGATTTATTTACATCCTTAAAGAAAGATATGAGCAAATTGAAATGAAACACTATTTAATCTACTGTAATACACTCATGATTATTGCTAAAATATATGCATATCCTTCATAATGTACAAAATAACCATGATTCATAACATATTTGCATAGAATAAACATTAAATGAAATTCATTATAAAAACATAATTTATGGGATATGCAATGAACAACATACCAGTAGCATGATTACGTGAAACACCCGTATTTGTATCAACATTTGTAACAAATTTATTAGAAGTAGATAAACTAGAAATAGCAGATAAATTAGCAGTTGTTGGAAATCGTAGATTATTTGCAGAAACAGTAGAACTTGACGCCTAATATATAAAAAAAATAATAATAACAATAAATAAGTAAGCACATTGTTAACATGAAATATTAGCTTTATCATCAATATATTTTGAACAATCAAGTGAATCCGCCTGTTCAATCACACATTAAGTGGGAAGAGTTCGCTCTCCCTCTCCAAATGCGCTCACATGGCCACGCGTATATAACCTCTGTCAGGGAAGTACTACTCACTGCCTTTTCATGGCGGGGGGTGTTGCCTACGAAAATGAGAGGACGAAAAGCGAATGTCCGGTGCTTAAACCGGATCCTAAACCAAGGGTACACATGGGCTGGCTCCAGTATCCTGAAGGAACAAATGGCGTATGAACCAATCGTTGGTCACCAGCTACAATGCGACTGTATCTCCTGACGTTGCTCCACTGCCTTGTGGATTAGACCTTCAGGTCGAAGGCTCGGGGTGTGGCCTCCTAACAAAACCACCTGTTTCGGTCTGGGGACCCAGGCAGTATCCCAGCCCTCACACATACCAAATGAGATCTGTGTGGCGCATATGTATTTGGTGCCTTCTTGTATCAATATCTATGTGTTAAATTAAATAAATAAGTTGAGTTGTAATCGGTCTACATTCAAATATTTGAAAAATGATTCAAAACGGACTGTGTTACATATTCAGTATGCTTTGTTTGTATTTTTAATTGAATTACTTTTCTTTGATTGTACTGTTCTTATTCATTCATTTAATTATGATTTGTCTGTTCATCTTTATCAAACATACTCCCCTTTTTATTTCGCATACTTTATTTTCTAATGTCTTATTGTATCCGATTATTGATGGTTAATTAAAATAGCTTAGTGATAATATTAAACACCATATGTAGATCATTTTTTATCTTGGTATTTATTTAGATAAGCAAAAATGTATTCAGATGGAATTTTATAGAATATTTTCGTAGTAAATTTGTTTATTTATTTGAGAGAAAACAACAACAACAAAAAGACTACTGATACACAACGAGAAGAAATAATGGAATGAATATACAGTTAGTTTAGAAGAACGATGAAAGTTCCACAACTAAACTATCTAAGCTCAGAGAATAAAACTTTATCAATATATATAATAACTTACTCTAGTTGTTAATAAATGCGATTGAGTTGGCCCTGCAGGACTTGATTTCATAGCCGATCCACTATTGATGGATAATGTTGATGATGCAGATTGATTAAAAGTACGATTGAGTGCTATAAAAAATATATAATTATTTTAATTATTAAAAGAAATCTTACCTGAATTGATTACTAGCTGTAAAAGAGCGTTAAGTGATTGATGTACTTCAATTAGAATTGGACGAGAAACAAGACACGGACCGGATCTATCCATATAGTGAATATTAAAAATTAAAAAAAAACATCATTTGGATTATTTTTTTTGTTGGACCACTTGGATACAAATTTGGAAGATGTTAATGTAGAACAAAAAGATTTTATTTTATAAATTAAGTTTTATCTTATATTGAATATCATAATTAAGCACATATATGAACTTGAAGATATTTGTCTAAGATAAATTACAAAAGCTCTAACCGAACTGATTGTACTGTCTTATTGACTTGTTTAGTCACATGTTAGAAAAGAATGTCTTGTCTAATCAGTATGTAAATGATTATAAGTTGGAATTTATATATGATTTTTTATTTGAACACATAGATATTGGTACAAAAAGGCACCAAATATATATGCACCACACAGACCTCATTTGGTATGTGTGAGGGCTGTGATATTGCCTGGGTCCACAGACCCAAGCATATGGTTTTCTTGAAGGGGCCACACCCCGAGCCTTCGACTTAAACGTCTGACCCACAAGGCAGTGGAGCATCGTGAGGACAAGCAGTCACATGGTAACCGGTGACCAACGATTGGTTCATACGCCATTTGTTCCTTCAGGATACTGGAACCAGCCCATGTGCGCCATTTATTTGGGATCCGGTTATAGCGCTGGACATTCGCTTTCATCCTCTCATTTTCGTAAACAACACCCCCCACCACGAGAAGGCAGTGAGTAGGACTTCCCTGGCAGAGGTTGTATACGCATGGTCGTGTGAGAGCATTTCGAGAGGGAGGGTTGGCCCACCCCACTCTCGGGCATACCAGGGCATTTGGTGAATTATTTCACTGATGATATATGCAGTAAATCGATATGATAGAATATTAACCTTAACATGTTTTTCTAGTCTTAAATTTACTATGTGATGATATTCAATAGATTAAATTTGTGGAAATTTATTTATTTGAACACATAAATATTGGTAAAAAGGGGCACAAGTCACTTGATTTGTGTGTGGGTTTTGATAATGCCTGGGTGCCCAGACGGAAGTAGGTATTTATCGAAATGGTTTATTGCATATGTTGCAAAAGTAGATCAATAATTTAGTTTACTGCACATAGATAAATAGGAAGTAGCTGAACGAGATGTGTTGAATAGGCTACACTAAGAATGATGGGATCGGTACAAAATTCGCTTAGAATATATTAACCCAGTATTTATAAGATGTTTCGGATAATCCATGAGAAAAGGAAATGACGATAAATTCTCTTTAATATATAAAAATAAAAACACACAAAATGGATATATGTTAATCGGGATAGACATTCACAAATCATAGATCACAAACGAGAACGAATACATGTCTATGTAATTAGAACCTATTCTCAGTTTACAACTAAGGTATATCATAGTTTACTTCCTGAATTAAAAAAGAACAGATTCAAATAATAATATTCCCTTCAATATTCTAGTCTAGAAACCAATCACTGAAGCTTTACAAGAAGAATGAAATAAAATTATGAACATTGCTTAAATCTTTATATACATATATCACAAAAGAAATGTTTAGGGCACACATAACACCCTGGGATAACGCTTGTCATGATCTTAATAATAAAACAAACATCGATGTACAGTAGATCTGAGAATGATTAGTGTAAAAAAAACGGGGCAGACTAGGCATGGATAAATAAATCACCACAGAAAATGCATCAAAACTGCAAAGAACTATGCATGTGTTATCACTGAAGGCAAACAATTTCCTTACAATTCCTATATATTTATTTATATCCTTATCTAACATAGTATGGTCCAGATTAATGAACAATACCACAGCTGAATAAACTTTAGTCGTAGAACTACTTGCCAAGGTTGGACTTGATCGTTTCAAATAAATTGAGCATTGGGTAAAAAGATATTAATAGATATATTTTTTGTTATATTCCAATGAGTAAAAAAAATCGTATTTTTGACGTTTCATGACTCAATGCAAGCCGCTTTACTTACTCTGATATGGTTTACATTACGTCATGTAATGCAATTTTTCTACTCAATGGTATATAACAAAAAATGTCACTAGATTTCATATTACTGATGAGTCATGGTCGGACTACCTTTTGCCATCTCTCAACCCACTATTATACCGTCGATCGTGACATTTGGTTATCACTAACTAATGTGACAAAATGATGACTAAATGCCTAGATGTAGTTTGCGGCCGACAAGTGTGCAGCAACATTCATAGTTGTTGGAGTGAATATCAATATTAAATTAAAAACACAGATTATATATATACCACTACATTAATAACATTGGTGGTAATGGTGAAGTTACATTCAATTTCAATACTGAATAAAGTATCTTCTTATTTATCTTATTCGTCTATTTCATTTGCACCTTGTAAACTATATTCCCGATGTTTTGTTATCCAAGACGATTGATACTATTTCACTTCCTATGCTTCTAATTTTGATTGGTAAATATTCAAAGTAAGTCCTACCATGATGACTAAGACTGATCAATTGTAGGGGAATTTCAATGAGATTGTCAAAACTGACGGTAAATCTCGAAAGTAACTCTATTTTAGGAAAAGTTTTAACTTTGAAAGCAATGGATACTTGTTGAGGGTTTGGGCTAAATAAATCCAGATCTATTAGCCACAAGTGTAATTTATGCTGTATCTAAATCCATGTATTTATATTCATTCATAATTAATTTTTTTTATTGTAGAATCTGTTTCTTCGTCTATACACAGCAAAGGGAGTTGTATAAGCAGAAATTATTTAATCGCTTTAATAGGAACATAGTATTATTATTATTATTTATTTTAACATATAGATATTGGTACAATCAGGCACCAAATAAATATGCGTCACACAAATCTCAATTGATTTGTGTGAGGGCTGTGATATTGCTCGGGTGCTCAGGGCCACACCCCGAGCCTTCGACATAAAGCACTGATCCACAACGCAGTGGAGCATCGTACGGTGATGCAGTCCAATGGTAGCCGGTGACCAACGATTGGTTCATACGCCATTTGTTCCTTCAGGATACTGGATCCCATGTGCACCATTGGTTTGGGATCCGGTTAAAGCGCCGGACATTCGCTTTTCGTCCTCTCATTTTCGTTAACAACACCCCCGCCACGAGAAAGCAAATTGGAACATAGATTGTACCATCAAGTTACAAACTAATGCTGTTCCATAAGCACAACAATACAAACACACATGAAACAATCAATTGTGTATCCTAATTTATAAGTCCGCCCCCAAATGCCCTGGTACGGCCGAGAGTGGGGAGAGTCCGCTCTCCCTCTCGAAATGCTCTCACATGGCCATGCGTATATAGCCTCTCCCACGGAAGTCCTACTCACTGCCATCTCGTGACACCGGTGTTGTTTACAAAAATGAGAGGACGAAAAGCGAATGTCCGGCGCTTTAACCGGACCCCAAACCAATGGTGCACATGGGCTCCAGTATCCTGCTGGAACAAATGGCGTATGAACCAATCGTTGGTCACCGGCTACCATGGGACTGCATCTCCTTACGATGCTCCACTGCCTTGTGGGTCAGACGTTCAGGTCAAAGGCTCGGGGTGTGGCCCCCTAAGAAAACCACCTGCTTCGGTTTGGGCACCCAAGCAGTATCACAGCCCTCACACAAATCAATTGAGATTTGTGTGGCGCATATGTATTTGGTGCCTCCCTGTACCTATACTTATGTGTTAAAATAAATAATAATAAATAATTTATAAGTCCAGTAAACTTGGTGAGTCGTGGTTATCAAGAGATGGCACAATCCGATCAATACAAATGATATTTGTGTAATTAAAAAGAGTGAATAATAGGTTAATCAGAGGACAAAGTTGGCAACAAACGCTGGTGATAAAGAAGACTAAAATAAAACAACAAAAACAAAATCGAAATCTATAACATTGTAAATCAATTTGCTCTATTCTGTGGTTATTAGGCTGAAATTTTACATATCAATATTCGATGTTCACAATTGAAACGAATAAATTGAATAGTAAATATGCAGTTCTACAATTATTCTAGGTAATAAACTATACGTAGTAAGCAATGATGGATAGTGGTTAGCAGTGGCATACATGACGCGCGTTTCGTCCTGTTTGGGACTCGTCAGCTGGATGTGCCTGCATCTCAAAGTTGATGTTCACTCAGTAGCTGAGTGGATAACGCGATGGTGTTTGAAGCGAATGGTACTAGGTTAGAGTCCTAAAATGAACATTAAATCTGATGCAGGTGTATCCAGCTGACGAGTCCCAAAGAGGACGAAACGCGCGTCCTTGATTCCACTGCTAGCCACTATCGATCATTGCTTACTACAAAAAGCTTGTGAATTAAAGCAATATCGAGGCATACGCACAATATGCACATATGCCAATAACAGACTGATCAATAGCAGTCTTAAATCTCAATAGGAAGATACAAGTAAAACAATACCAAGTGAAGATAAACTATACGTTTGCATAGGATATTTTTGTTAGTAAATGTTGTTACTTTTAATAAAAGAAACTAACTATGCAAGGAAAACGTTCATGGTTACACTAGTTTGACAGATTAATATTATGTACTGAAAACAGTAATTCAATGGGATTGATAAATTATGTTCAAATAGACATTTTTATACATAATATTGAAAGTAAGAAAAACTATTTCAAAGGTTATAATATCATTACAAACTATCAGGATTTTTAACCAGTTATGGATAGCATAATTCTAAAGATTTAGTTAGATATTCCATAGAACAACGTAATTAAGATATAAGTGATTAGAAGGCTGTAGGGATTTATCAAAGGAAAATGTTTCTAGAACAGAACAAAAAATTTTACTAAAACTAACCATTAGCAGTAACAAATGGTTGAAGTTACTATAAGCCCATGAATAATGAATAACCAAGTAGGGTATTCAGTGATTTCAGAAATTTTAGTTTAGACAATCTATTTACTTGGAGTTTCAGACAAGTATCGATCAGTGACAGTATACAGAACGTGACACTATCATCGATTGTATTATTACTTGAATTCCTT